AACAGGAGGCATCTGGGATTAATCGAGGTTGAGAAGAAGAACTAGTCAGAAGGGAAGGATGGTTTTTCAAATGGGTGCCTAAGACTTTAGCGGACGACATACTTCGCGGTAGCCCACACCGATTGACTGACCCTTGTTGGAGGATAAGTTAACTTCGTGGATCTCTTATGGTGATAGTCTATGCGTGACGATCGTGGACAACGTTAGCACAGTGCGAGTCAGTTCTGGTTTCACTTACGAATTCTGTATACAGACTGGAGGCCCAGTAGTTCCAAATCCACCTTGATCGTACTGCTCCAGGTCTTCAGTTGAACACCAAGGTGACAACGACATCCACGGCACGGTGCAGGGCTACAGCGTGCCGCAGGATGCAGGCTGCTGAACATCGGATTTTGCTGTCCTTTAAGTTACGGTACCCAGACCTGAACGTAATACTCTAGGTGTGGCGACTGCGTACAATGGCATAAAAACACTAGGACATTGGTTTATAATCGCCATTCGGTGTCTAAAGAGAGCTCACTTGGCTTTCAAGGCTGCATCTTTAACGGTAGGAGGTGATAAAGAGGTGTAAGAGATTTATCTCGAGGTCTGTTGCCTCTGATCTGTAAGCGAGTGTTGCAAATGTTCCGTCCGTTTTGATGAAGTGTCAAGGGAGAGGTTGCGACACTAGCTATCGAGCCGCTCTTCATTGCTTTTAGTGGTTTGTCCGATTTGTTAGACCACTCGCATATCTTTGGGATGTCACTCTCCAAGGAGTACCTGTCGTCTGGCTTCCGGACTAACTTACAAGAAGCAGGAATTCTCCAGCCCTGACGTTGCGTCGTTGACGTATATTAGTACAAGTAGGGAAGCTAATATGCGTCCTTGTGGACACGGACCGTGCTCCGCTACGAGCGATCCTCCAACGGATGCAGAAGTCCGGTCTTTCATTCAGGCTCTGAAACAATGAAGAGAAGCCGGACTAGATGAGCTCCATCTCACTCTTTTCAAGATGGGACGTGATAACCTCGTAAACTGTATTACTGTACTGTACTACTTTACTGCGCAACATTTGGATGCGAGAGCGCATTCCTTTATCTTGGGGTGAATCGCTACTGATCGTCCCCATTTTCAAAAAAGGATATCTCAACAACTGCGAAAATCACCGCGGGATCAGTTTGATTCCAATCTTCACCAAAGTACTGGCCTCGGTCATACTTCGACGTCTGACTCCTTTAAGAGAGATCAATATCCATGGACAGCAAGTCGGATTCCGGCATGGCCGTGGTTGTATTGATCAAATTTTTACGTTACGGCAGGTCCTTGAGCTGCATCATACCCCCCGCCGACCAACGGTCGCAGTTTTCCTTGACCTGAAAGAAGCCTTCGACTAAGTTGATCGCGAAGCTCTGTCGAAAGCCGCTTTCAGAATATGCATCGACGCTTCATTCTGTAGCTGTTGATTCGAACTGAACCGTTGAGACGTACAGCGCACAATCGGCTACTAACTGGAATCCAGTCGAGAAGCGAGCGCTCAGCCTTGGCACTTAGCGGAATCCCGACACCAGCAACACTGCGAGTTTGGATGCTGAATCGCCTGACACACGAAAGATGAAGCGTGAGGTTGAGGTTGGATCAGGAGAACGCAGAGAGATAATGGAAGTATGGTCTTGTATGCGTGTTTCGGAGATACAACATACATCTACATTGAAAGTTTCGAGGGATGTAGCCAGCGCAGCTTGTTGGCCAATCTGATAGAGCGTGTGGACATTGAACGCGGCTAAGTGGAAAGTGGATTTTGGCTTTAAAAATCCTATAGCTTCTGAATCTCTGGCCTTGATTGTAAAACGCTGAGTGATACTCGATGGATGGTGTAAACAGGAGGCATCTGGGATTAATCGAGGTTGAGAAGAAGAACTAGTCAGAAGGGAAGGATGGTTTTTCAAATGGGTGCCTAAGACTTTAGCGGACGACATACTTCGCGGTAGCCCACACCGATTGACTGACCCTTGTTGGAGGATAAGTTAACTTCGTGGATCTCTTATGGTGATAGTCTATGCGTGACGATCGTGGACAACGTTAGCACAGTGCGAGTCAGTTCTGGTTTCACTTACGAATTCTGTATACAGACTGGAGGCCCAGTAGTTCCAAATCCACCTTGATCGTACTGCTCCAGGTCTTCAGTTGAACACCAAGGTGACAACGACATCCACGGCACGGTGCAGGGCTACAGCGTGCCGCAGGATGCAGGCTGCTGAACATCGGATTTTGCTGTCCTTTAAGTTACGGTACCCAGACCTGAACGTAATACTCTAGGTGTGGCGACTGCGTACAATGGCATAAAAACACTAGGACATTGGTTTATAATCGCCATTCGGTGTCTAAAGAGAGCTCACTTGGCTTTCAAGGCTGCATCTTTAACGGTAGGAGGTGATAAAGAGGNCCTTGAGCTGCATCATACCCCCCGCCGACCAACGGTCGCAGTTTTCCTTGACCTGAAAGAAGCCTTCGACTAAGTTGATCGCGAAGCTCTGTCGAAAGCCGCTTTCAGAATATGCATCGACGCTTCATTCTGTAGCTGTTGATTCGAACTGAACCGTTGAGACGTACAGCGCACAATCGGCTACTAACTGGAATCCAGTCGAGAAGCGAGCGCTCAGCCTTGGCACTTAGCGGAATCCCGACACCAGCAACACTGCGAGTTTGGATGCTGAATCGCCTGACACACGAAAGATGAAGCGTGAGGTTGAGGTTGGATCAGGAGAACGCAGAGAGATAATGGAAGTATGGTCTTGTATGCGTGTTTCGGAGATACAACATACATCTACATTGAAAGTTTCGAGGGATGTAGCCAGCGCAGCTTGTTGGCCAATCTGATAGAGCGTGTAGACATTGAACGCGGCTAAGTGGAAAGTGGATTTTGGCTTTAAAAATCCTATGGCTTCTGAATTACTGGCCTTGATTGTAAAACGCTGAGTGATACTCGATGGATGGTGTAAACAGGAGGCATCTGGGATTAATCGAGGTTGAGAAGAAGAACTAGTCAGAAGGGAAGGATGGTTTTTCAAATGGGTGCCTAAGACTTTAGCGGACGACATACTTCGCGGTAGCCCACACCGATTGACTGACCCTTGTTGGAGGATAAGTTAACTTCGTGGATCTCTTATGGTGATAGTCTATGCGTGACGATCGTGGACAACGTTAGCACAGTGCGAGTCAGTTCTGGTTTCACTTACGAATTCTGTATACAGACTGGAGGCCCAGTAGTTCCAAATCCACCTTGATCGTACTGCTCCAGGTCTTCAGTTGAACACCAAGGTGACAACGACATCCACGGCACGGTGCAGGGCTACAGCGTGCCGCAGGATGCAGGCTGCTGAACATCGGATTTTGCTGTCCTTTAAGTTACGGTACCCAGACCTGAACGTAATACTCTAGGTGTGGCGACTGCGTACAATGGNCATAAGGTAGTGGTCGTAAATTCAACGCCGGAGCGTGAGGGAAGCACCCTTGTGGGATCTTCTGGAGACCTGTCTCTCAATGACTTTGAATTTCGGTTAAGTTTGTTTTTCGCTGGTTCGTTAATTATCGGTCCGCCTTTCGGGATCAGCCCTTAGCCTCATGTACCCAATGAGACAAGATTATGGATTAACAGTTGCTCGACCGGAATTTTCGGCCTGGGGACTTGAAATTGTTTACCACTGGTGGATAAATGTGGCCTGACGATAGCAGTTTGGATGTCGATTTCTCAGTGTTCGCACACAAGTGTGCTTACGTATTCATCTGGCTCTTCTTTCACCATGATTAATTTATAAAATCGGCTACCACTTCGTATATTTATCTCGATTCTTAATCCTACTGGTCGATTTTTTTCCATCTGCCAGTTTTGCGCTGACTTGACATGTATTTCTCTCTCGCTATTGTTTTTTTAGCTCAAACCCAACCAATGCGCATTGCTCGAACAATTCTGGGCTCACAATTTTTATGTGCAGGGTGACTATAAGGATCCGGAAGGATTTATCAAACTGAATACGTTCATTGAAACCAAATGGGGTCTGAACGTGAATCGCATCTTCTATTTTGCCATTCCTCCAACAATATACACCCACGTTTCGGACAACATCTATGCTCACTGTATGCCTAAAAGGTAATCAAAATTCATTTACAATTTGAGGAGCTGTTTGAATTTCGGTGAATGTTTTTTTAATATTTCGTGATATCTTGTGTGTCTGTCTGTGTGTGTGTTTGTGTGTGAGGTGTGTGTGTTTTCCCCCGGTCTACGTAACCACCTTTGGTTTCGCTTATTTGCCGTTTCTCTTCTCTCGAGTACGGTGAACGCACGCACAATCGAGTTGCTGTGGTAGAAAAAACCGCCCACTGATCGCCATTTGGCCTTCTGAATTGCATTATCTTTTTATGACACACACCGTGATGTGTGATGAACAGCAAACGAGGGCGGACCCCTTAGTCACGAAGACCTTCTGTTCAGTGGTGGAAACCGGCGACCTAAGCCCCGCGGGACTTGGAGTGGTGAACCACATAAGGCCCCGATAGGCGTGCTATTGAACCGGACGACAGCAGTCCTGTCTACTACCAAAGTTGGTTGGCGGTGGTGAGTCTTGAACCTTGAACCATAGGGCCCAAAGCACGCCGGTGACAGTGACTAAACCACTGCGCCACCACCACACTCATACCCCCCCCCACCAACCACCGCGACAACAACAACAAAGCTGGCTCATTTATTTTCACTGGAAAAGTAACCTGATGGGATCCGTAATTTAAGGGCTTGTTTGATGCACCACTGTCCGAGATTGTGTTGTGTCGTCCATACGTTGGCAGTGGATTTCCCGTTAAAATTCTCTCGCTCGACCTTAGTGACAATCGTGTTCGGTCTATTTCATTCATTCATACATACATCCGTCAGCCGACCATCTTCTGCTCGGTGAGTTTCTTGCTGTAGCTGAAATCAACTCAATCCGAGTTTTTTTTCTCACCGCGTGTAGTTTGTTTCCCCCTTGACACGTAGGCATCAAGGAGTGTACTGTTTTTCAGTATTCGCTTATTCATACGACTCTGTGATGTATTTTGCACACATACACACACACACTTCTGATGCTAAGGGTGGACGTTTCCTGCTTCAGGAACAACTATCAGACAATAGGCACGGGCTTAGTTAAAGGATTTAAACACCGGTTCACACATTAGTACGCATCACATTTGCGAGCCCCGCGAGTCCTAGATTGACGCCTATCGTGAATTGTATCGGTCTGTAGTTGATGACCTTTCCTTATGCACTTTGTTTTTATTCCCAACAAACTCAATTCGTCACACCCGTCCGGTGCACTTCCTTCACCACCTTCACTCTGTCTGTCTCATCTAAGCTAGTGTTTCGCTCACTTTCATCTAACACAATTCCTGGCATTTGTTGTTGTGTTTACATGCTAAAGAATGCATCCATACACGCACGTGTCAGATCACGAGGATGTGCCTTTTTCCAACACGTTTTTCGTCATCCCACTGTCTCATCCTTCTCCGCCTTCTTCATCTACCCGATTCCGAACCCCTTTCTGTATGATTTCTCTAGCTTGGAAGTCTGGGCTCGTTTGATTATTGAAAAACCGTTCGGTCACGATTTGGAATCATCGAACGCATTGTCCACTCATCTATCCCAACGGTTCACGGAGCAACAGATCTATCGTATCGATCACTATTTGGGCAAGGAAATTGTTCAGAGTTTGATCATTTTGCGGTAAGTTTCACTAGCCTCATTCTAATGTGTGTGTGTGTCTCGTTGTTGTTTGAATATCTTCTGTCAGGTTTAGCTAGATAGAATCAGTTGATTGCGTAAATCACTTTTACCACTTGGCAAGTCCGTGCATTATATAATATTGGTTTCTCTTTCCGCTGGTCGAGCGTCCTAATTCTTTCACTATCGACTGATTTTCCATGTCCACAAAGAGACAACGAATCAATAGCGTTTACACGACAGCCTATTTCTAGACTCGACTAAAACGGGACCATGTTTACTCATTGCCGTAAATCGACCAATCCGTGCGCACCGGATTTGACCAATCAATCACGTGATTCGTGTCTGTTGGTTCGAAATGGGGACACCGCATGTGATCCGTTGCAGGGGGATGTACACTTAGACACTGTTCTATCCGTGTTTTATTCTTTCTCCTTCGTGATACGATTCCATTTCTCACTTCTTATTCCGAGAGAATTAGTGATCTTGTCGTCGTTGTCCTTGTCGTCCTCGTAATATTCTCGTTAGTTTTTCATACAATCACCGTCCCATTTCATTCGCGGAAGCTTACGATTTGACAGCGTTTATAGAAATAGTCCACCGGGTTGTCACCAATCAAGGCGAACCAAACCGTGTTTTGCGCCACGGTCACAGCATAATTGAACAGTCAGGGTCAGCTATAAGGTTATTAGTACTAAATACACATATGACTCATAAACACCGGAGACCAGTGCTGAGATGAGCGAGGCGCGATACCCACAACAAGTTCGCGAAGATGGGTAGTGCTGTATCGTGTAAATGGAAATTGAAAATCGATCGAATCAGCCGCCCGGTGGTCCAGTGGATGGCATGCTTTCGTTCTACCAGTGAGGTCCCGGGTTCGGTCCCCAGTAGGGTCGATGGATTTGTACTGCGGTTGAGACCCAACCAGGTCGAAACAGCTGTACAGTGCTCCCTATACACGATGAATTTCTTCTATGAAATTGAATCAAATCCTCCTGTAATCTCATGCAACATATGTGATAATTAGAATAACTCAGCAGCGTATTAATAAATGTGGTGTAACAGTGCGGTTGTGCCTGGTGGAGCCTGGCAGAACGAACAGTCTGTCGCGTCCACTTCAAACAAGATACATATATCACACGAGGAGTAGGCGAAGGTTTACAGCTTATGGCGAACACTAGCGTCACAATGAGGGGCAGATAAACTACGGGCTAGTGAGTGGTTCGCGTACATTCAGTCAATAGGAACCCCGAGGGAGGGGGGAGCTAATGCGGGCTGAATGTCAGGTGAAAAAGAGGTATAGTTTGCAGTCCAACCCCCGGTCGGGACGCGGTCTCCAAGGTCGAGGAACATAATGGTGCAGTGCTGAATGCGAGAATAGCACTCAAGTTTTTGGTGACGGCCAGATGGAGGCATAAGACCAATGCGATTGTGATTGGACTGGTCCAGAAGGAACGACAGAAATGATTCATTACTCTAACCCTGGGGCACCAACGGATTTGTTTTTAATTGTCTGATAAAAATAGTCGTCGGTTCGTGGTGCATCTGTCGTATGAATCATTCCTTGTTCTTACGTTCCTGCGTGTTTTCCTACCCGGCAGGTATTACTCATTCACACCCGTACGGTAGAACTTTGTTATCTCTCTCTCCCTCTCCTGGTCTCACTTTCTTAGTGCTCGTGAGATTGATAACAATGGGAAATGCACTAGCTAGTGATTTTATTTTCTAACTCAAAGAGAGTAAGTAGCGTTTTGTCCGGAGAATTTCGGGTCCTAGCGTGAAACGCATGTGATACCCACCCGGTGCGATGAAGTTTCAATAATTCAATACAGCCCTTTCAGTACTGTTAGCTCGTTCTGTATTACCTCGTAGGCTGTAACGAATCGAACCTGTGAAAACTCGTTGGGCTAGGTGGACTGTCAAACTCTGCACCACAATGGGCGAGGGTTTCTTTCTATTGCACACCACTGTGTGATCAACAACAGACGGGGTAAATCCTAGAGTCAAGAAGACCTACTGTTCGGCTGGACGACAGCCTAAGCTGCCTACCACCAAAGTTGTTTAGTGATGGTGGGACTCGAACCTCGGACCATTGGGTCCAAAGCAAGCCGGTGACAGCGACTAAACCACTATACCACCTCCACCACCACCACTAAATCAAAAATGTTTCAGCTATTTACAAAGGAGATTGACGATTGTGACGCGATGTCCAGCTGAGCAAACGCCGAGCTCCACTGGTTGAATCGGTTTTCTTGTCTGATTTTCGATATTGTTGATTGTGATCTCAGTCTGAATGGCTTTTCCCGTTTTGTTTCCGCATGATCCATTATTCGTGAAACTAATTCACGCGGTCCGTAGTGTTCTGCTTTATGGTTGCGAGACCTGCGTTGAGGATGCTAATCGACTTTCCGTATTCGACCACCGATGCCTTCGAAGCATTGCTCGTTTCTGGTGGGAACATTAGTTGAGTAATCACGAGGTTCATCGTTGTGATGGGTGTGGATAGTCGTTCTCTAACGAAAGAAATCGTTCTACATCGCCTCCGATGGCTTGGTCACGTATTGCATATGCCTGCCCATCGACTACCTTTCCGTGCTCTTTTCGTACGTGCCGGGCAAGATTGGAAGAAGCGGCGCAGCGGTCAGACCATGACATGGGTTAGAGGCATAAAGAAGCTGGCTTCTGTTGGCGCAGCTCGCCTTCCAGGCTGGGGCCCAAGGGATGAGGATTGCTGATGGCTAGAGACGCTGGGAGATATGGCTCGGAANGTACGGTTTGTTTGGCGAAACTCCGTTCCCCATAACACCAAAAAATCTTCAAAAAGTATACGTGAAACTATAAAAAAATCATCCATTCATTTGTTCTCCGTGTTCTCTGTTTTCTCCATTATCATTTAATCTTTATATACCTCTCCATAACCTCATCATCAGTGTTTTGCATTGGCACCATGCTGGTTCTCAATCTGATGTAATATATATATATATATAAACTAGTTCACGGACAGGTCTGTTAACTATGCGTGGTTCAAGAATTCTTTATTAGGGGAAGCTGGGAGAACCCTGATCCTCGGTTTTCCAGTCAGAGAATCACAGTAAACTAAAACATAAAAAAACCGAAACTCTGCAAATTCTATGTTCCATTTGCCTTTTCCGCACATTTCGTCCTTTTCTTTATCCAATCGCTTTA